CTTCTTCTTCACCCCCTTCTTCCTCACGACTTTAACCCGCACCAGCTTCTTCCTGGGTGCCGGGGCTGGAGGGGGCAGAGGGACCCCCTGTCTGGGGGTGCGGGGCCACCACGCAGCACCCCACCCCGGCGCCCTTGCACCCCCCCGCCCCGCACAGGGCCCCCGGCGCTCCCGGGGAGGCCTCAGGGCACCCCCTCACCCCGCACAGCCCCGCAGGGGCGCGCGGCCCCTGCACATGCGTGCACACACCCGTGCACGCACCGCACACACACACAAACGCAGGGCACGTGCACGCAGAAACGGCACAAACGCGCGCGCACACGCAGGGTGCACGCTCAGACACGCTGGTGCACAGATACCCACACGCGTCTGTACTCGCACACACACGGCCAAACACACACACGTGCACACGCACCCCTCTGCACACACGCTTTAAGCCCCTCCCCTCCACACACATGCTTGTGCACACACATCCCTGCACACAGCTGTGCGCACACATTCCTCTGCACACAGCTGCGCACACACACACACAAGGTTGTGCACGCACACACACAAGGTTGTGCACACACACATTCCTCTGCAGACAGCTGTGCACACACACAGTGGTGCACACATCCCTCTGCACACACAGCTGTGCACGCACAGACACTTGTGCACAGCCCTCCCTGCACACATGCGCACACGCGCACACACACGCGTGCACACACATCCCTGCACACACACACACGCACACACATTCCTCTGCACACAGCCGTGCACACACAGCCATGCACACACACGTGTGCACACATCCCTGCACACACGCATTCCTCTGCACACAGCCATGCACACACACACAGAGCCATGCACACACAGCCGTGCACACACACAGGCACTTGTGCAAACCCCTCCCCACACACACCCACACTTGTGCACACACAGCCGCGCACAGCTCTCCCTGCACACACAGCGTGTGCACACACCCACACTTGTGTACCCCCCTCCCTGCACACACACACAGCCGTGCACCCCCCTCCCTGCACACCCAGCCGTGCACACACACCCACACTTGTGCAGCCCCCTCCCTGCACACCCACACGCTTGTGCACACACAGCCGTGCACACAGCCGTGCACCCCCTCCCTGCACACCCACGCTTGTGCACGCACAGCCGTGCGCAGCCCTCCCTGCACACCCAGCTGCGTGCACACACACCCACACTTGTGCACCCCCCTCCCTGCGCACACACACACACACACACACACACACACGCAGCCGTGC